TTTGTTTAAGACAAAACATGAAATAACTGTTACTTTTAATATACTTTTTTTTTATTGATTTCAGAGAGGAAGGAAGAGAGCGATAGAAACATCAATGATGAAAGAAAATCCTTGATTGGCTGCCTCCTGCACACCCCCTACTAGGGATTGAGCCTGCAACCCAGGCATGTCCCCTGACCAGAATCAAACTGTGACCTCCTGGTTCATAGGTTGACACTTAACCATTGAGCCATGCCGGCCAAGCACAAAATTTATTTTTTAAATAAAGTTTGAAAACATATACAAGACTAGAGAGACTAGAGCAAGGAATCCTCATATACCTATCATTCCAGATTCCATAATCTTACCTAATAATAGACAACCATGTAAATTAACCATCCCTCCGCTACGCTCACCAGCTAATCAGGAGTATGCAAATTAACCCAACAAAGATGGCAGTTAATTTCCATACATAGGGGCGAAGTGGCAGAGCGAAGACTGAAGGCTCCGTCCAGAGCGAAGGCCTGGGTGCCAGGTGCTGGAGGAAAACCGGTGCCGGCAGCCAGGGGAAGGGAAGGCCTATTGCACGAATCTCTTCATGCAATGGGCCACTAGTCTATATATAAAAGCCTAATATGCAAATTGACCTCAGGGAAGTTCAAGGGGAGACTGATCACTCGCTCACTATAATGTGAGCTGACCACCAGGGGGTGGCATGGAACGAAGAAAGGCCCCGGCCTGATCAGCCCTGATCGCAGGCCAGGCCTAGGGACCCTACCCATGCATGAATTTCGTGCACCGGGCCTCTAGTTATTCAATAATTATCAAGATTTTGCCACTTTTGCTACATCTAGCCTGTTCTGTTGATTTCTTTGTTTTTATTCTTTAATGTTTTTAAATCCTCATCTAAGGATATTTTTTACATTGATTTTTTTTTTTAGAAGAGTGAAGAGGAGGGAGGGAAGGGGGGAAAGAGAGAGAGAGAGAGAGAAACATCTATGTGAGAGAGATACATTGACTGGTTGCTTCCCGCACTTCCATATGTGCCCCAACCAGGGCTAGGGATTGAGTCTGCAACCGAGGTACATGCCCTGACCTGGAGTTGAACCTTCTGACCACCGAGCTCCCGGCCAGGGGTCTTTGTGGTGTTATTTTATTTATTTTTCTTGTCTGCAGTATCATACATGCCATCTAACTGCCTCTAGAATGTTCACACCTGTTACTGCAATGCAAAGCCCAGAAAGAGCTCCTCCTGGGACTTACTTTAGGTCAGTGAGGTATTACTTTATTTTATTTTGTTTATTTTTTGTAATTTTTTACAAAATATATTTTATTGATTTTTTACAGAGAGGGAGGGAGAGGGATAGAGAGTTTGAAACATCGATGAGAGAGAAACATTAATCAGCTGCCTCCTGCACACCCCCTATTGGGGATGTGCCCACAACCAAGGTACATGGCCTTGACTGGAATCGAACCTGGGACCCTTCAGTCCGGAGGCTGACGCTCTATCCACTGAGCCAAACTAGTTAGGGCCGTGAGGTATTATTTTAAAGCAAATACCAGACTTCATGTCATTTCACCCCTACTTACATTGATGTACATCCCTATAAAAACGGACATTTTCTTTCATAACCACAATACCATTATCCCTAATAAACTTTTTGATAACTCATTGATATTATTTAATGCCCAGTCCATATGGAAATTTTCCTAATTGTCTCCAAAATGTATTTTTACAAAATCAGGATCCCAAACAAGATCCATTTATTACATTTTTACCCACACTTTTCGATCTTTTCTAATCAAATGGGTAAAAGACAGAATCTTACTGTTAGCTTATTGTTTATTTAATTATGAATGCAGATGGGCACCTTTACATAAATGTATGAGCTCATTCTTATAACATTTGTGAAACAGCAGTTTTGTTTAGTCTGTGAATAGCCTACTTTTTTGTGTGTGCTTGGTTGTTTAGCTTTTTTTCTTAGCTATTTATCAGGGCTCTTTTCACATTAAAGCAATTAGCCATTTGTCAAGCCCCATATATGCAAATATTTCTTTCCAAGTGTCATTCATCTTTTGACTTGGTTCAGAGTGTTTTTGAATATGTAGAAATGTTACCTTTATATAGTTACATAGAAATATATACGTTTGACCTTGAGATAGTTAGATTGAGCAGTATTTTCCCTTATGGCTTCTGGGCTTCTTGTCTTTTTCACATTATTTATTTATTTTTTATTTTTATTGTTGACACTATTACAGACACCCTGGGTTTCTCGTCTTACTGCAAAGCCGAATTTCCTCATTCCACAGTGATAAAACTGAATACACCTATGTTTTTTCCTGGTACGTTTATGATTTCATGTTTTACATTCAAATCTTTTATTCCTCAGGCATGTGTTTCGGGGTTAGGAACTCTGGCTAAACTAGGGGGAGCGAACCCCAGGCCCCTCTGACCTTCACTTTCTTGCCGTCGATCTCCAGGGAGCGCACAGTGAAGTCCACCCCGATCGTGTTCTGCTGTGTCTCCGTGTAGACCCCGGATTTGAAATGCTGCACCACACAGGTCTTCCCCACGTTGGAGTCCCCGATGAGGATGATCTTGAACAAATAGTCGAAGTTCTCATCTGCTGCCCTGGCTGAGCTGGAGAACTGCATGGCGCTGCCTCCCTGGAGTGGAACTGGGAAGAAAAGGAGGGGTTCAGCGTCTCTTTAGTGAGCACCGACCAGGCGCAGGCGCTGTTCAAGGCACTTGGGGTCCAGGACAGGACAAGGAAGGGAGATCGTTGCTTTCATTGCACTAACATCCTCTTGGGCCCTGGCTGGTTTGGCTCAGTGGATAGAGCGTTGGCCTGTGGACTGAAGGGTCCCGGGGTTCAATTCCGGTCAAGGGCACATGCTGGGGTTGCAGGCTCGATCCCCAGTAGGGGGCGTGCAGGAGGCAGCCAATCAATGATTCTCTCTCTCATTATTGATATTTCTCTCTCTCCCCTCTCCCTTCCTTTCTGAAATCAATAAAAATATTGGTTGAAGGACACTAATTACCGGTCAGGTACAAGAGAGCTGCCCCCCTGAGCTCACACCTGCCTTAGGTGGGTGGACATTACTTTAGGGGTACCCTCAGGATGAAGAGGTCCTACTGCCATTCTCTGCTGGGCGACACAGTCATCACAGGCAGATGACAGCATTGGTGGAAATCCTGGTCATTGAGACCAGGGGCTCCGGGCCCTATGGAGTGCCCACTCAGCAGGAGGATGGCAGAGGAGATGCCCACAGAGGAGATGCCCACAGGAGTGTTTTTCCTGCCATTCTTCAGTTCATAGACATGCCTGGCTTTTCACGTGGGGAGAAGGACTCCAAATGTCCAGGCAACCAGCTACAGAGGACTGACCAGATCGGACAGAGAAGTCAGTTTAGGGAAGAGTGACATGGTTTGCTCGCACCTACTTTTTCTTGACGAGGAAATTAGGATTTTGAGAAAATCCAAAAAGAAAAGTGTAGTGGGGATGTTTATGGCAGACTTCACCATAAGCTGGAAAATAAAGTTTCTAAATGACAGTGTTTCCCACACTAATTATATCAAAACTATTTGGGGAGATAATTAAAAATACATATTCCCCAAACCCATCCCAGATCTGCTAACGATATTTAAAAACCCGTGTACACATACATGCACGCACTCGCCAGGTGACTCTGATGCCAGCCCAGCCAGGTTCGGAAAACACTGATCCACACAATCACGTGCCTGACATTTTATTCTCACCTCCGTGTGTCTGCCCAACGACTCACCTACGCTTCAACATCACCGAGCATGAGGAACTCACTACCCCTCGCAAAAACCCATTCTGTGTGTGCAGCTCTAACTCACCTGGGGTTGAAATCTATCTCCCAGGGTTCCATCGGTTGACCCTCGTGCTATGCCAGGACTGGGCAGATTCCGATTCCACATGCCAGCCCATCAGATATTTGGAGCGCCAAGCATATCCCCTCCAGGCAAATGTCCTCAGGCCCTCAGCGGTTCCTCACAGACTATCATCTTGGGTCTCCCCATAAAAATACATGAGACCTACCCCCACTGCATGGTTAAAGTTGAGGTGCCGCACTGCAAGTTGCTCCCTTCTTCACTTCCCCCCACTTGTACTTTTTGGTTTTCTTTAAAGTCATGGAAAAGGACAAATCTATATCGTTACACAAATTAAAAGGCACACAGATATCCAGCCTATAGAAACCCCATGCTTCTCTCGCCCCCAAAACACCTGTGGCTCAGTGATCCAGCAGACGAGGGACACCTGCAGCCCTTTGTTTCCCCTCTGACCTTTCGAATAAAGAAAGCCATTCCACTTCCGTGTCTTATCACCGTAACTTGAGCTGAAATCTTCCTTCTGTGCCTCACCCCACCCCAGGAAGTCCTCAGAATTTCCACGAAAGCCCCTTTAACTCAGCCTGCACGTCCTGCAAGGAGAATGCAGTGTCCGCCTGGGACGCCCTCCATCCTGCATCCGGTAGCCTCCAGCCTCCCGGGTCACCGGTCGCCTACCTGTCGCGCTCTCTCACTTCTGGAAGCGGGAAAGGTTTTCTTTTTCTCCTTGTTTTCCTTTTCAGCCCTCAGGGCCCCTTCTTCCTGCTGCCTCGCTGCGCGGTGGGAACTGTAGTTCTGTCCCCAGGTGCCAGGTTTGGCGGCCTGAGAAAGCGAAAGGAAGTGGAAGCCCTCCCACTGCCCCTGAGCCCGCAGCTGCCGTTGGGCACAAAGCACAGGTGAGGCGCTGGCCAGCACTGGCCGCCCGGAGCCCGAACATTCTTGCAAAGCCAGTTAACTGAGCCAATACCTATAAACCACCCGGGTCCTTCTTTCTACTCACTTTCTCTTATGCAGCTCCCCCCGCCCGCCCCATTTTTCCTGATGTCCCTTCTTTGGCTGGGGTGGGGGCTCCAGTGGCGAGAATACAATGTAAAGGATACAGAGCTGGGTCTTGAGTCTTTGCATTGTCTCGGGGATTCGAATTACTGTTCTTGAGGAGCCTCTAAGACAGTGGTTCTCAACCTTCTGGCCCTTTAAATACAGTTCCTCATGTTCTGACCCAACCATACAATTATGTTCGTGGCTACTTCATCACTGTAATGTGGCTACCGTTATGAATCGTCATGTAAATATCTGATATGCAGGATGGTCTTAGGCGACCCCTGTGAAAGGGTCGTTCGACTGCCAAAGGGGTCGCGACCCACAGGTTGAGAACCGCTGCACTAAGAGAAAGGAGGTGTTCCAAAGAGAAGCTTAAAAAACGAAAATAACTTTGCATTTGTACGGAAGAAAGAGCTGAAAAAGCATTTGTTTCTTTCCCTCAAATACTCAACCACAGAACAGAGGTAATTTCTAGGTTGAGCAAACAGGGTTTACCAGGCCCTGATGCTGGCACAAGAGACAAAGCCGGGGTGAATTTTCCTTATTTCCCCCCTGCAGAGTCTGGGAGGGTCGCTGGTTCTCAGACCATGGGATTAGATTTTCTCCCCTGTGGAGAAGGTAACATTTGGCAGTTAAGCCGTGTAGGTACAATATGCAAAACAGAGGCATCCTGTTTATAAAATATTTAAATTGGTATAGTGTTTTCAAACCGTGGGCTGAGACCTAGTCCCGAGTCCTGAAATCAGTTTTAGTGGGTTGCAACCAGCATTTTTACAGAAAAGATTCGCAAAAAAAATTCCAGAATGTATCTCATGTAATCAGACTCAGGATTGTTCTGTGAAATGTTTGGGTCAGTTGCAGACCTGCCTGAGTATAGGGGGGCGGGGGAGGGGAGTGAGGTAAAATGCATTTCTTCCTGTGGCTGAGGTCTAGAGAGATTGAGAAGCCCTGCAACAGAGGACAATTTATTCAATACCCAACAGCGCCTTTCCCCCACGATTCCTTCAGATGATCTTTAAAATATGATTTATTTTGCTCCGAATTCCACTTACAGTAAATTGCGGGGAACTGCTCCTTTGAATAAAATAACCCCAATGCTGGCAGGTAGAGCAAGAAAACAAAAGACCCTGCCACAGGCTGCTGCAGCCGGCTGCTGAGGGCCATGGTCATAGGTATGTGACTAGGAAATGAAATGTTCCTAGTCAAGACCTACCACAAATGTATGGGCAGGGGCAGGAAATAAAACCCATTAAATGTCAACGTCAATGAGGTTAGCCATCAAATGTTTTCTTTCCCCGGTAATGCTTACTGTTAAAGAAAAAAAAAAAGTCAGCGGACTCAGACCCACTGCTTGGAGAACATCTAGAGTAACATCAAATGGTGGTAAAATGTCCAGATGGTTATGGAAGCCAAGGAGAGATTCGGCCTCTCCCTACTCCGACCTTCTCCCTCAGTATGACTGTCAGTGCAAAGAGCATAGCTTGGGCCACTGGGAAAAGGCTTTCTGGATGGTGGTGGCGGCCAGGTTATATACTTACTTCATATACACGCATATACGTATATACACATGTATTTCACAATTTATACATTTTACCATTTTAACCATTTTAAGGGTATCATTCTGCCCTAGCCAGTATGGTTCAGTGGATAGAGCATCAGCCCGCAGACTGAAGGGTCCCAGGTTCGATTCCGGTCAAAGGCACGTACCTCAGTTGCAGACTCGATCTGGACCCTGGTCAGGGTGCCGGCAGGAGGCAACCAGTTGATGTTTCTCTCTCACATCGATGTTTCTCTCTGTCTGTCCCCCTCCCACTCTCTCTAAAAATCAATGGAAAAATATCCTTGGGTGAGGATTAACAACAACAACAAATTAATTAATTAACTGTACTTTTCAATAGTAAGACATATATTCACATTTTTGTGCAATCATCACCACCATCCATCTCCAGAACTTTTTCATTACCCCCAAAAGAAACTCTATATCCATTAAACAGTAATCCCGTTTTCCCTTCCTCCCCGCCCCTGGTAACCACTATTCTACTTTTTGTTCCTATGAATTTGATTACTCTAGGTACCGCACATAAATGGACTCAAACAATATTTGTTTTTGTGTGTGGCTTATTTCACTTAGCATAATGTTTTCAAAGTTCACCCATGTTGTAGCATGTATCAGAATTTTATTCATTTTTTAAGTGTGTGAGTAATATTCTACTATGTATTTTTTAAAAATAAAAGTGAAACCTTTGGCTGGTTTATTGTTGCTCACGCTGATACCACATTTCCCCCAGATACACCCTTAGGTGACTAGAAACAAAACTACTACTGCATTGCACACATTCCCCTCCTTCCTTTTCTTTCAAAATTTCTTTCTGCGTATGTTTACAATACATGTACAGTATATACTTATAATGGCTAAATAACCTGTGGCTAGTCTCACAGCTCAGGAATGTTTCCTCCAGGACCTGGCAACCATCTTTGAAATGCAAACAACCAGGAAGATAGTGTCCCTAATACCCAGTTCCTGTGTAAGGGTAGGAGCCTACCTTTTTTTTTAAGGGATTATAATTTTATTAAATCATCTGCAAACCAGATGGGCTGCCCAAAATGGCATCAGCTTAACAGCCTAACTTTTGTGGGCACCTTGCTCCAATCTGCAAGACTATCTCCTATCCTAAAGGTATGGAAATTTGTTTCTCCTCTGGTTAAGCCAACACAGGTTTTGTCTCCCCGGTTTCCCCGATAAAGTTAGGATGTGTGACCTTGTCATGTCCTCTCATTTGAGAGCATGCTTTTTAGTGGGTTGTCTTGGCTTGGCTATATAAAGGGGAATTTCCTTCTGTCTTTGCAATCTTAGTGCATTGCTTGTAAAGTGCATCACATCATGTTCAAAGTTAAGTGTTGTAAGACCTTTAATTTTTGCTTGAGGTCTCCAGAACCAGAACATTCATTTATTTGAGTAGGTGGGGTGTGACATAGAACAGTGAATGATACTGGTAGACTATGGGCAACTGTATTTAATTAAACAATCTAAAGCTTATGCCTTCGTGGCAGGTTAGTAGCACACTCAGCAACACGTTGCTTTCTATAAAAGGAAAGCGATAAAGCTTTTTGAAAAAAAGGTGATGTATACATCATATCAAATTATATCTTATCTCTCCTTCACTGCTTTTTTCCCTAACATTCCTGGACCATATACTGCTTCCCCGACCGCCGCCCCCGCTGCGCCCCG